ACATCCATCCATCCATCCATCCACCCACCCACACATCCATTTATCCACACATCCATCCATCCACCCACCCACCCACAAATCCATCCACACTTCAGCTTCCTATGTGCTACAGTCAACAGACAGCATCCACCCACACATCCATCCACCCACTCACACATCCATTCATCCATCCACTCACACGTCCATCCACACATCCATCCACCCACACATCCATCCATCCATCCACCCACACGTCCATCCATCATCCATCCATCCATCTATTCATCCATCATCTATCCATCCATCCATTATATATCCATCCATCCATCCACCCACACATCCATCCATCCATCCATCCATCCACCCACACACACATCCATCCATCCACCCACCCACACATCCATCCATCCATCCACCCAACCAACCGCTGAAGAAAACCCAGCAGCTGCATGAACCACATCAGGACAACGCTTCATTCTTCAGAAACACAAACACCTCCTGCAGATTCATTCTTAGCACTCAGTATATGTGTGTGTCTTTCATTAAGAAGTCATTACCACATACTGTCATACAGATTATGAATATTATGCATATGAATATTCACATACTACTTACATGTGCAACTATTTGAATTCATAGAGGGTTGCAAAAGTCTGATATCCAGCAGTAGAATGTGTCTATTTAGCATTTTTATACATAAATACAATTTAAAATGTAATTTCTTCTATTGCAAAAACAAGAACATGAATATGAAAAATGTCTTACTAGTTACTATATTGTACTATTTATATTTTACTATTTAATTCCTAACTTTTCAAAATTCTAAAACTGTTTTCCAGCTTTAATTGAAATAAATAAATTAATTAAATTCACGTTTATTTGTATAGCGCTTTTCTCAATACAAATCGTTGCCAAGCAGCTTCAAAGAAAATTAAAGTTTCTACATTATATTTAGGAGTAGCTTATAAATAAATAATAAATACATAAATGTAAGGTTTTAGTGATTTTTAGTGATGTGCTTTATTATTCATATCTTTTCAAAATTCTAAACCTGTTTTCCAGCTTTAATTGAAAAAACAAAATAATAATAAATAAGTCTATATATATATATATATATTATTATTATTATCATCAGTCCAGAGTATTTTCTTTATTGTGTATTCTTTATTATTTACACTTTTCTGTTTTCTTTCTTATCTTACTCTTTCTGAGCCCTTTTGTGAAAATATCAAATAAATAAGTATATATATATATATATATATATATATAAAACCAACCAACTAAATAAATAAATACATTCAATTCATAGGTTTTAGTGATTTTTAGTGATGTGGTATATTATTCCTAACTTTTCAAAATTTTAAACCTGTTTTCCAGCTTTAATTGAAATGAATAAATATAAATAAATTAAATTCACAAGTTTTAGTGATTTCAGTGTGATCAGTGTAGACTTTCAGGACCTGCTTTATATAAATATAAATTTACATGAACTTTTTTTTAAGTGTCACATAAGGTAATAATGACTGTAAATGTTACTGTAAGTGGCTTTGTGGAGGAAGCTGCAGCCATGGCAACCGGAAGCTGCTGGAGCGCTATGTGAGCGGATGCTCGTTAGAAACGGGTAATCAGCACACGGACAATACAACAAACCAATAAAACCTGCATCAACAACAACCGAGAGAGAGAGAGACGGGTCACTGCAGCCAGATCATCAGTGAGAGAGACGATGATCAGAAGAGTCATGCTTCAGTCTGAGTGTGATATATGTGAACTTGAGGCCGAGCACTGGACGTATTGATCAGCCTCGTGTGTTCAGCAGATTTAAAGCATCTATAAAGATCCCTGATTTATTCCCTCTCTCATAAATTCATTCCGGGAAAAACTAAATGATGAACACAAAATGCTATCAAGGTACATGTTTTCACTGTATATATCCAGTGTCAGAAAGTGTTTGTTATTCATCTCATTCATTAAATTTGTTGATAAATATTTTTAACAACTTAAATGTAGTATATGTATGAATGCAGATTTTTTTCAGTGCAAAGATAAGCTTCTGATTCGATCCTTACAAAAAAAAAACACGAGCGTCACGCGAGTTTCAAATGTTAAAATCACATGTGAAGCACACACGAAACATGTGGCTTTGGAACATTTTCATGTGAAAAAAAGTGATCAAGTGGTTACATTTTTTCAGCAGCATACGTTTCATGTGTGTTTCATATGTGATTTTAACATGTTAAGCTCGTGTGACGCACATTTAACCTCATTCTGTAAGGGGATGTATGATTATATTGAGTATGTTACATATTGCCTTTTGCCATTATAGGCAACAGAAGAGGCACTCAACAGAAGGCACACACACTGCAACATGTGAATGAATGTAAGCACAGTCAAATTCACCAACACTCAAAAATCTGTAAGCTTTGTTAGTTCAGCTAGCTGGCTTATACATTGTTACATTTTGTCTCTTTCTACAGGATACAAAGTGTGTGCAGTTTTCGTGGACTACCATCAGCTGTTTTTCTTGTTCCTTTGTCTTCGTTTCCCACAAAAAAAATCCTGCAGAAGTGTTTGTGAAAATTCCAAATGTCCAGAGTATTTTCTTTATTGTGTATTCTTTATTATTTACACTTTTCTGTTTTCTTTCTTATCTTACTCTTTCTGAGCCCTTTTGTGAAAATATCAAATAAATAAGTATATATATATATATATATATATATATAAAACCAACCAACTAAATAAATAAATACATTCAATTCATAGGTTTTAGTGATTTTTAGTGATGTGGTATATTATTCCTAACTTTTCAAAATTTTAAACCTGTTTTCCAGCTTTAATTGAAATGAATAAATATAAATAAATTAAATTCACAAGTTTTAGTGATTTCAGTGTGATCAGTGTAGACTTTCAGGACCTGCTTTATATAAATATAAATTTACATGAACTTTTTTTTAAGTGTCACATAAGGTAATAATGACTGTAAATGTTACTGTAAGTGGCTTTGTGGAGGAAGCTGCAGCCATGGCAACCGGAAGCTGCTGGAGCGCTATGTGAGCGGATGCTCGTTAGAAACGGGTAATCAGCACACGGACAATACAACAAACCAATAAAACCTGCATCAACAACAACCGAGAGAGAGAGAGACGGGTCACTGCAGCCAGATCATCAGTGAGAGAGACGATGATCAGAAGATTCATGCTTCAGTCTGAGTGTGATATATGTGAACTTGAGGCCGAGCACTGGACGTATTGATCAGCCTCGTGTGTTCAGCAGATTTAAAGCATCTCTAAAGATCCCTGATTTATTCCCTCTCTCATAAACCTGCCAGATTTACACCTGCTGAGGATCAGCGCCAGATTCTGGAGGCCTGAACAGAAAACACAAAGCCATAGATTCGGATTCAGGCAAATTTACAAACAAACAAAACCCCAACCAAACCTGTCCAGGCCATAAAATAAAAAAAGGGTGATTCTCATTTTGTACAATACTATGGTAAAAGTATACATTGGAAAATTGGTGCACATAAAGTCACACAAATTTTATATTTCTTTTTCTTTTTCAATTTATTTCACTTTATTTTCAAACAATAAAATTATATATATATTGCATTACAGTATGTGTTAGATTTAAATAAATACTTTTTTAGTTAAAAAAATAAGTACCACCTGGAAAAATGGTGTGAACAAAGGCATATACAGTATATATTGCATTACAGTAATGAGAATTTAGGGTAAAATTAGATTTTTTTTTTTTAAATAAATTTTTTTAATACAAAAATTAAGCACTCACTGTAAAAATACTGTGAGCATAAAGTCACACACATTTTCAATTTTTTTCATTAAAGTTTTGAGAATTTGGGGTAAAATATGTTTTTTTTAATATAAATAATTATTTTATTAAAGAAAGTCCTTATTTGAAAAATGGGGTGAGCCAAAATTTAAATAAGATTTAATAAGTTATGAGAATTTGGGGTAAAATATGTTATTTTTATATATATATAAATAATTATTTTATTAAAGAAAGTCCTTATTTGAAAAATGGGGTGAGCCAAAATTTAAATAAGATTTAATAAAATAAAAAATTAAATGAAATAAACTATTCAATTAAATTAAATAAAGAATGCATTACAGTAAAGATTTATAACTAGATAAAAAAAGCTTGTCGAGACAAACTTTGAAGTTGGCTTGAGGAAGCCAGACCAGAAAGTGTGAAAAGTTTTAAAACGTTTATAATTAATAAAAAATTATATTTTATAATAAAAAAATATATTAAAATACTGATTCTAAAACTAGGCCTCATTTTCTTTCTTTTTGGTGTGAACAGCTTTGAATAAAATATCATAAAATGACAAACTATGATAACTCAGGGACTGTAAAAGCAGCACGACTGGTTCTTCTGCTGTTCTTTAAGAGGAACCGGGGAAATCAAAAGAGGATAAAGATTTCTTAGCATATGATCCATGCAATAATAAAAGCTGTTTCTGTCATCATCAGCGATGCTCTGAGACACACAGAGACTCTCCTGACCAGATAACAATAGCAGTGGAAAAACGAAGAGAGCAGAGGCAGATACACGAGGCCCCGGGGGACGAGAGCGAGAACAAACCGCAGGAGCAATTGTCTCCAGAAATAGAGGAGAGCGGCTGCTCTCGCATTACACTTGGCTGCGACGCACCGGAGCGGAAAACAGAGAGCCGGAGGAGCGTTTTACATGAAAACTGCGCAAGCGGCCGCGGGTTCCTGTGTGGGAGACGCAAACAGTAGAGAAACACGGCGAAACTGACAAACGCTAGCCCTGATCCCCTTACGAGCGCATTGTGGCAGATGAGTGTCGTCCTGCCAGACATCAGAACACATCTCATCTGCTGTGAATAGCTGGAGACGCCAGAGAACACGACAAACACACGCTCGCATTCACTCCAGTCCTACGCACTCGTATTCAATGCAATCCAATCGCATTCATGATCAGCATGAAACATCTGCTGCTTGAGATGCTGTTTAATCTCGTATCGGCCTCACAGTCGTGTTCTCACGTTTACACGCATCAGATAGAAAAGGCAAACCAGCTGTGACCAATTTCTGCCAAAACACACACCATGATACTCACTGGAAATTGAGCATGAAGCCACACACATTTTCTATTTAAATAATACTTTATATAATACATCTTGTGTGTGTGTGTGTGTGTGTGTGTGTGTGTGTGTGTGTGTATATCATCACATCACATTGTCATGAGCATAAAATTACACATTTCTCTACTAAAAATAAAATAAAATAAAATAAAATAAAGAGAATTAAGGGTAAAATGCACATTTTTTAAATACTTTTTAAAAATATTTTTTA